TTCCCAGTGCCACTTTGTGTTTCTCCTTCCTGCTTCTTCCCACCTCCTTCCTGGCCCTGCCAACCACTTAATCTGTGTTCTGTCATTATAGACAAATTTACATTTTTTAGAACTTTGTGTAAATAAAAATCACACAATATATACTCTTTGTTTTCTGGCTTTTTTATCCAGCTAAACTATTCTGAGACTCATCCACATAGTTGCAGGTATCAATTGTTCATTCCTCTTTATGGTGAATATTATCCCATCATATGAATATAACATAAATTGTTTATCCATTTACCTGATGATGGACCTTTCTTTTTTTTTTAGCTTCTTCTATTACAAATCAAACTGCTAGGAGCTTTCATGTACAAATCTTAGTGTGTATGTTTTAATTTCTCACACCTAAGAGTTGGAATACTGGGTCCTGTAGCAGGGATACATTTCACATTTAAGAAACTACCAAACTGTTTGACAAAGTGGCACCACTATTTTACATTCCCTTTTGTGGGTATGAGAGTTCTAATTCCTTCACGTTCTCACCAAAACTGGGTATAGTTGGTCTTTTTTATTTTAGCCAATTAAATGTAGTCATTTAATAAGAAATGTGTGACAGTATTAGTGAATAAACTATCACTGCCCAATGTCTAAGATCTTGAATACCATTGCTCCTTATATCATCATATATATATTTTTTGTTTGTTTTGTTTTTGAGTTGTTTCAACTTAGAAAGTAAGCCAGCTCCCTCTTACTCCATCTTTGCCAGAAATCCCCCTCAACTTAGAGCAAAGGCAAGAAAACATGAGAGAAAAATAAAACAATGAAGTAAACAAATCTAAAAGAAATTTTCACTTACCAACATTGCATTTTCATCATCACCATTATATGTCCAGCTGAGAATTTGCTGTCCTGGTGAGGACAATTTAACAGCATCAGAGCTCTCAGCAAATTCTTCAATCTCTGTACTTTTTGACCAGAGGCAATACTCTTTTCACTTACTTCTACAATAGTGCATGTTTAGACTTCCCATGAGGACCACCTCTCCAGTGTAGTAAATAAAGGCCGGACCCTCATCAATGAAACCTTCCCTGACTGTTCAAATATAAGTGGCCTCCTGGTTATTCCATTTTGTATCACCATGGTTTTGTTTTTGGTATTTTACTTACCATTATTGGATATTTTTGTGTTGATCTTTTTTTTTAATGATCTGCCTCCCTGAACTAGAATTATCTCCATGAAATCGTGTCCCTTTCAGTCTTATGAAGAATAATGTTTGGCCCATTGAAAGTGCTCAATAAAATATGTTGAAAGAGTATTTTCTGGCTCTGGACTTGGAGCAACGGTTGCTTCAATAGAAATTGTTCTTCCCAGTCAGGGTACATGTCTGGGTTGCAGGCCATGACCCCCAGCAACCGCACACTGATGTCTCTCTCTCTCTCTCCCTTCCCTCCCTAAAAATAAATAAATAAAACCTTTTAAAAAAAAGAAAGTGTTCTAAGAGAAAAATACACATATAAAATATTAGTATCACAACATAGCCATATGGTCACTTGTATCTCCAGGGCACAAAATAGAAGTTCTACTGAAAGTAACTTCAGAAGGTAATCTGATTACAAATTTCTGCCTGAGCAGGTCATGGTGTGTAGTCATGCCCCAGGCATATGATTTTTTAGTGAAGGGTTGCAAACAAGCCTTGTCCATTGTCCTGATGTTGCTAGGATAACACACCTTTAAAACACCGAAAGCAACACCCCTGCAAGGCATAACCACCCTCAAGAGAGCACCTCATGATGTTAACTATCCTATAATCCAATCCCTGCCTTGATTTCCTCCACTTTACATAATCTTCCTTGAATTCCCTCCTAATTCCTTGAATTCCCTCCTAATTCCAAGGACATTTTATAAAAAACCTGCAAATCGTAATCTTGGAAACTTTTGAAATCTTGCTTCCCAGTAACTGACTCAGTTTTGACCCAAATGAAAACTCCCAGCTGGCCTGGACACATCATAAGTCAACGCCGCTCTCGTTATGACCTTAGTACATGTGTTACCTATGAACCTTTCCTGATATTGCCTTCTTATCTGATGTGGAATCTGTCGTATCCTGGCACTTAAAGTAACCATCACAAAACTACCAGGAAAGAAAAATAACCTCATTCTGAGTTTATTATTTCTATAAATAATAATGCCATTCATGTTGGACTCCAGATGAGAATTCTCCAGCAGAGCCCAGTAATGTTAAAATGATAAGAGAGAGAATACATTATTGTCTTACAACACTACTTTTTGGGAGTGGTTTGTTATTCAGCAAATAAATTATAAAACAGAAATTGATTCCTGTATGTGAGGTGTTCTGTAACAACACCAGCCCCTGAGTAAGTATAGAAAATAGAGTACTTATCAACCATGCGGTTTTGCTAGGAAGATTTCCAGGCAGAATGTTGAAAATGAGAACTGACTTCTTCTAGTGCCTATAATAAAAAAATAGAAGAACAAAGAGTTGGGCCAAAGAAAGAACTGTTGAATTTTTTTATCAGAATGTAGTGGAAATAGGGTCCATGACATTCTTTCTAGCTGGCAAAACGTTCTCAAAGTAAGACATGGCCTCAGAACAGAGATCACATCCATGGCACTACCAGTAAAACACAGTGTCAGGGTAAAGATGAAGTCAAGATATGACCATAAGATCCTTGTTGACACCTCAGAAAGATTAAAATGTGTACCTGTCTCATAGACCCATAGGCAGACAAAAGGCTTTCAAGGATATTAAGGGCAGGTCTCTCAGACCTTACCTGCTAGGCAAAAAGCCTCTAAAAATCTCAAAGGCATCATCTCAAAGCACTGATGCTCATTCCAAAGGAGAATGTGGTTTAACCTGGAGATATTTATGGGTGTGGCTTTTGTCTCACAGAGGGAGCACAAAAAATATTCACAGAGAAAACCTGTACCATTTTGAAGAACATTGCATTGGGTCAAAAAAAAAGAAAACCCAACTAAACAAACAAATGAAAAAATAACCACCCACCTACTTGGACTTAAATATTGCTAAAGTACAGAAATACAATTTAATTTCACGTATTGACCTTATAATCCAGCAACCATACTCAGTTTACATGTTTATTCTAATTGTTTTTAGCTTCTTTGGAATTTTCTATGTTGTCAATATAAGAAATTTCTAAAACTTCTAGAGACTTTTTATATTTATTTGAGCCAAACAAAGGATACACCTGGAAGCAAGATCTCAACAGACTGATATAAATGTTTCTGAGAAAGCAGTTTCTTTTATGCATTTGAAATTGAGGGAAGAGGTAACAAGATGGTTAAAATCATGTGAGTGGATAAAGTAGCTGTGGTATATTTACACAGTGGAATATTACTCAGCCCTAAATAAGAAGGAAATTTTACCTTTTGTGATAGCATGGGTGAACTTGGAAATTATTATGCTAAGTGAAGTAAGGCAGTCAAAGAAAAACAAATACCACATGATTTCGATTATATGTAGAATCTACTAAACAAAGTAAACTATTGAAGTGGACACAGACTCATGGATACGGAGAACAAGCTGTCACAGGTGAGGGAGGTGGGGGCTGGGCCAGACAGGTAAAGGGATAAAACAAAAAAAAAGAAAGACTCATGGACACAGAAAACAGTATGGTGTTTGCCTGAGGGAAGGGGGGGTTGGGGAGAGGTAGAAGAGGATAAATGGGGGATAAATGGTGATAGGAGGAGACTCAACTTGAGTTGGTAAACACACAACACAATAGACAAATGATATATCGTAGAACTGTATGCCTGAAACTTGTATAATTTTATTAATCAATGTCACCAAAAAATTTCAATTAAAAATAAAAAGAATAAAAATAAATAAAAACATAATTTTAAAAAAATGTTATGTGCTCTCTTGGAGGTGGTCACATAGAGATTGGACTACAGGGTAGTTAAGATAATGTGTTCTCTTTAGGGTGGTTACAGCTTATTTCAAGGGTGTGTTGACCTAGATGCACAGAAACCATGGACAGGGTTTGTGTAAGACACAGATAAACCTTTTACTAAAAACTATATGCCTGATGACTACTCACCATGACCTGTCTAGTTAGGAACTGATGGTCAAATCACCCTGTGAGATTGCTTCCCACAGAGCCTCTGTTTTGTCCACAATATGTAGATCATCATTCTACATTTCATTTCTGCCACTATTATGTATGTCCTTCTTCTTTAGTTATTTTTTATACAGTGGACCTCTACTTTTTTTGCTTAGTTAAAATGCTGATCATTTCTTTGTTGGTGTACTTTTTTTTTTTTTAATGGCTAGACAGCAAACAAAAAAGATTCGACTGTTCAGTGAGGTAACTGGGCACTTCATTGCCATATCTAATTGAATCTGGAAGATAATAATAGTGACAAACTAAAAATGACTCAGAGTATATCAGAGCTGCATACATCTCTTATGTCTGGGTTTCCGGATACTCATGTTGTCTTTTGTTGCCTGTAAGGTTTATGTTAGTCACAGACTTATCTGCCAGCTCCTAGATGATTTTTTTTTCTCATTCTGTTCCTCTCCTCTTCCCAAAATGCAGTACTAGCTACTTCCTGTACTGTGTGTTAATATTAACAAGTAGTTCAATCTTCCCAATCATTTCCATAGTGATGTAATCCATTACAGCCACTAAAAGCCTTTCCTTATTTAGGCCAAAGGATCTGATTAACGTTAGTTCCCTAAATAATTACATTTTAGTAACTTGGAATCTTGGTATGTAAACTATTTTGAGTGACAAGTGGAGGAAATATTTTTATCAAGTGTGTTATCAGTGAAATTCAGATAACGTCATTTTCACAGTAAACAGTTACCGTTCAGAAATTACTGCTGTGAAAATTGCAAAAGGTATATATATATTCCTCCTGTTGGAATACCAGCTCAGTGATTCTAGGATTGCGTTGTTCCTGAGCTAGGAGCACACTTGCTCTCTGCCTTGTGTAGTTAGTGTTTATTAAGTAATTTCTGACTGATTTGATGAAAGATGTCATCCCAGAACCAGTCAAGTGTTCTTCATAAATTCAAGGACATCCTCTTTTCTACTATGTCTTCAGAAGAACTTCTAAGTTCCATGGATTCTTTCAATGCAAGAGAAGATGATGTATTTCTGGTTTCCTATCCAAAATCAGGTAAAGTTTATGTTAATGTATTGTGTAAATGTAGGAATATAATAAAAATATAATGATGATGATGATGATGATGATGATGATTTTTACAAAACATTTGTTTTTCAGAATTTTCCACAGGAAATTAAAGTATCCCAACTGCTTATTTTAATGAAAAAGTTTGATAGTAGAGAAGCAAAAAATGTGCTTTGAAAAAGTTCAGCTGGAGAAATTAGAGCTTTACTACACATTTGTTTCTATTTGATTTATGAAGTCATACAAATGTTGAAATATATAATAAGCATAATATCTATAACATTATAAAGTTTTCTTAGTACTTTGTGCCAAGCACGAGGATGGTGATAAATAGTGTTTATTCTATTTATAATCAATGATTGATTTATAAATAAATACTTTTTACCTCTGGGCTAATAAGAACCATAAATACTTTTATTATTATAGGTTATGCCTTATTATTTAAATTAATATTATACCATTTTTTATTCTGAGGGGTGACCAGGATTTATAATATCCAACTGCCTGTTGCTATGTCCAGAATAGTGGATGTGTAGCTGAGCACCCACACACCTGCTGTCCTGGATTCAGCAGCTAAGGCTCCAGTCCCCTTTGATTGTATGTGTGCCATGGTCCCCTCTTTGCACTGCCAGTCAGGCCTGGGAGACTCTTCCTTTGGATGACGCAGAGTTCACATAGGGCCAGGTCTCCCAGGGTGTTTTTGAGAAGAACTAAAAACCATGTATGTATCTCTTCGATCAGAAAATATTGCCCCAAATGACTGTTAAATGATTGCCTCCAGAATACCACAGTATTCTTGCTATGCAGTAGGTTGCTCTGTGACTAAAAATATCTTATCTTCAATTGACATGGTAGTTTAAAAAATAATTAATGATACTTTAAGTTTCCTTGAACAGGTGACTAATTTATACTGTATAGAGAAACCACATTCGAGGTTGTCACTGGTCATGTTGGTGCCTCTTCCCACCAGCTGCCAGGAGTTCTCTTTCAGCAGCACCAAACTGTATTTTCCCTCCTTCATCAGAAGAAATCAGTATATTTTCTTAAAATAACACAGCTATCACTACTACATGAGTCACATTTATATGAATAATATAATTATAAATATTTAAGACATTAACATCATGACCTAAAATAGTCTTAAATTTAAAACATATAATGCAAATGAGAGCACTATTTAAGCTATGGGTATTTATTTGACTCTAAAATTGTGATCACAATGAGAAATGGAAACAAAAGCTGATTTAAAGTCTTCAGGGACATTGCTTTTTTATCATTGTTCAAGTACAGTTTTCTCCCTTTTACTCCCAATCCAGCCCATCCACACAACCCTCCCCACTTCCCTCCCATTACCACCCTCCCCCTAGTTTTTGTCCTTGTGTCCTTTAAATTTATTCCCATAAACCCTTCCCATTCTCCCCTGAAATTCCCTCTTCTCTCCCCTGTGGTGGACATTGCTTTTGAATTAACAAACATCACCTCCACCCAGACTTCCGCTTCCCTGCTTCTGTTTACTAGAGTCTACCACACCGGAGCACGTCCGCATTTGCTCCAGGTAAACATGAAAGGGTTTTCCTGCCAGACTCTGAGGTAACGGGCTTGCATCTCTATGATGTTTGAATATGCCATTTTGCTCATTGTTCTAATGCTTTGTTTGCACAACGTCTTGGCATTTACACACAAACAAAAATAAGATCCAGTGTATCTTCAAAGGGGAACTGGGGAGATAGACATAAATAAGCAATGGCAAGTGCACTCTGGTGCGTGTTACTCTGGAGAGACCTGAAAGGTGAGCAATCGTTTCAGGGGAGTAGGGACTTGGAAAAGCAAGATGACAAGCTTGCAGGACCAATGGGAATTGTGTGTGGGAAGGTCTGTGTATTTGTGAATTGGAGAAGATGCTAGAGGTGAGTAGTAGCACAGAGGAGGATTGCATGCTGAGGAGAGAGTATATACAGTTTTCATATCACTTCACACTTTTATTCCTGCATAATAAACTAACATTTTAAGTATTTCAACAGATTTTAATAGGTGTCAGGTTTCAAAAGGTTGTAAAACTATTTATAATAAAATTAATGCATTTATTGCTTTTATAACCTAATGCTAATTTACTATATTCATTTCACTAAAAGTGCCATTTAATTAAAAATGAATTTCACTTTATTTTTGTGTGAAGGTACCCACTGGATTGCAAAAGTCATTGAGAATATTCCCAATGCTGAAATTACTCTAACATCTCCAATTGAATTGGGAGACATTTCTAAATTTGAAGAGCTAAAGATGTGTTGTAAGAGAAGAGTTATTCCAACACATTTGAGCTATAACATGCTGCCAGTGGATATTAAACAAAAACAATGCAAGGTAAGTTCAATGGTGAAGGGTGGAAGCTTGGGAACGCCACAAAACCAAGCTTGGATTCTTGCTCGGCCACTTACAAGATATGTCATCTTGGAGAATTGCTGATGCTCTCTGATGCTTGGTTTCCTCATTAGATACAGAAATAATGGTATCAGTCTCATACAGATTCAACAGGACAAGGCATGTGTAGGTGTGGCTAGGGTATCTAGTTCATAAAAATTATTTTAATAATCCTTCAGCAGTGAAATAAATGTGAATTATAATTATACTAGACAGTGTCTTAGTCTATTCTGAATCTGGTTTTAATCTTTTTACTTTAAATATTGATGTCTAGAGAAAGAAAAATTGCCTTAGTGTTATTTTAATTATTTTTATCTGTCATTTTTGCAAGGAATTATATAAGAAAGGAATAAAAAGTGTATATAAAATGCTTAAAAATAGTTACATCAAGCTATTTTTAAAATAAAGTGTCACATTATTATTATTATTATTTTAAAAGTTAACCATAATTTTAAAGTATTTTATATTTTCATATACTTTATATTCAAATTTATGTTTTCATGGAGAAATGCTTATGGAATAAGGTTAAGTAGAAAGTATATTTCAAATACATATGTACTGAATAATCTCAATTTAATTATAACATATATACACACACACATAGAAAAAAGTCCAGATGTAAATATAACAACATACTGAGTAGCTTTTATAGGGTACGACATTAGGGTTGGTTTTATTTTCTTGACAAATGTCTGTATAAGGTGCACTTCAAAAATTCTGTTTTGATCAGGAAAAAAAACGAAACATTTGAAAAGCAAAGGTGAGATACCTGTATTTGTTGTATCGAGGCCCCAGTAATGAAGCCGCTGTAAGCAATGTCAGCCGTATCTCAAAAACAACAAACACAACCTACCGGTCAGAGGTGCACAAATCAGAGCAGATCTTGTTGTGACTACAGCTCCACAGCTGTGGAGTCTCTATGCACACATCTTCTATTCTGCCCGAAGAAAAGTAAGCACAAGTAGCCAGAAGTAAAGGTCAGCTTTGCCTTTGTTCCCAGCAAGTCTATCAGAACAGGGGAAGGTGTACTATCTCAGTAACACTTTCACTCAACCAAGCATTTTTGTTTCAGACTGTCTCTAAGACAGAGAGAGAGGCATCTGGGCAGAAAAAGAGTCTTCTGAGCTCAAAAACCCTTACTCGGGGCAATGCAATAACACTGATAACAAGTGGCTATCAGAGATTGAGCTGTTTTACAAACATATTACAAAAATTAGAGCAGTGGGCATTTTTCTCTTCATAAACAAAGAAACTGAGCTCAGAATGGTTTGGGTGCTTCTTTCAATGACATACCACACTGAAGGTACAGCCTTAAGGCACAACCCTCTTAAGGTGACCTCTAATGGGGACTGAGACGCTGCTTGGCCCTGGTCCACCAAGAGGATGAGCTGTCCTCTGTTGCTGAGGCCCAGACCTAAGGGCTTGGGGCGGGACCAGCTGTACCTGCTCCAGCAGGGCCTACCAGGCAGAAGGTCCCTCTGCCAGTCTCTCTCTGCCAGCTCACAGCCCCACTAGGCCTCTTACAGTTTTCTCCTAACCTTTGTCTCCCCTTTTTTGTTTCCAAACTATCTCAGGAGAAATTTATGTTTTCAACTCATTTCATGATATTTAGTTCATATTTAATTTTTTTTCAGAGTACTATTCTGCCTTGCTTTCATATCCCTCAAACTTCCCCTAATTATTTCTTATGATTTATTAGAATGAATATACCCTTCTCGTGTGTTTTGGAGCATAATTGACATATAACATTATATTAGTTTCAGATGTAGAACAGAATGATTCAGTATTTGCATATATTATAAAATGATCAGCACAATAAGTATGCTTAACATCTGTTACCATGTTCAGTTACAGCATACATTCCTTTAACCTCTTTTGACAAAATATGTATTAATGGTTTGCATTCATTGACTTTACTACTAGATAATACAGAATACAACTTTGAGGGGCTCTTCAAGGCCCTAAAACTCTTCTCTGTACCACCCCTCAAAATCTCCAACTGGATGGCTAAAAATACTGCCATTTTATCACTTTGTTAGGGCAGTGATTTTTTTTTTAATTAACTTTAGAAAGAGACCAGGGCAAGGCAGTGGATTTTTAAACTGTGCCCTTTGAGTCTTGGGGTTCACAAGGTCTAGAGCAGGTAGAAAAACCTGTGGTGTTGGGTTACTCCACTATAACCTATTGGGACAAAGAACAGACAATGGTGGGGGGTGGTGTGAAGGGGCACCTCTTTCTTGTGCACAGTGGCCTTTACTGTCCCTCAAGAAAAGAGGAGCAGGTGCCGTTTATGTGGGTCACACACAGTACCTGTGCTCAGAGCACAGTACGGAAAGATAGGTGTTAAAAGAACTTAGTAAACACCTTCTTACCTAAGGAAAATGTGTCCACCCTGATTGTCCATTGAAAGTCAAGTAGAACACCTGGTACTTGTGCAGTGTTGACTGTGACTGAGTAATAGTCCTTTCCTATCCAACTAATCACACTGGTTCCCTGCGATTTCTTGTACGCTCCTACTGTGCTCTGCACTTCCCTGTCAGGACCCTCGGAACTCTGCATTGTCAAGCGTGTTCCTCACCTCACTGCTGTTTTCAGGGGACTAGAACTCTTTCTGTCTTGCTCATTATTATATTCCTTGGACCTAGAGTGTTGCACACCACGTGGTATACAGTAGGTATTATATATGTGTATATATTGAATTGAATTAAATTACAGTTGCAGTGTTTATGTAAATTGGTAGGTATCTCAGATTCCTTGTGCTTTGCCGGAATAACTGTAGAAAAAGAAAATTCCAAAACATCATTCTTCCCATAAATAAGAATAGATCACTTTGTAAAAAATTGTACTGTATGTGAATCATGTTTTATAATAAATGGATATTTAAAAAGTAATCTCATCCTATAAAGGAATAGGGGTTTCTCACGTCTACCCCTAAGAAGATAGGACCAAATGTAACACATAAACTGAAAAAGTGGGGTTGGTGAGCTGGCAGCATCAACAAATCCAGGAACTTGTTGGAAATGCAGGAGGCCCGGCTTTATCCGGAACCTCCTGAGTCAGAATCTGCATTTTCACAAGATCCCCTGACCGTTCCTATGCACAGAGCATGTTGAAACACTGGTTTAAGTCTGTGTTTAATAATTAGCCGAAGCTGCCAAAAAATCGTGACTGGCACAGGTAAGGTTAGCTCCAACTGGTTTTTTTATAATTTTTTTTATTTACAAATTTCTAAAATCACAGTTAACATTCAGTATTATTTTGCATCAGTTTCTGGGGCACAGCACAGTGGCTCTACAGTCTATGCTCTACGGAGTTTCTCCCCGATATTTCCAGTCCCAGCTCCTACTTTCTTTTAGGAAATGTTTTGCATTGTGGCTATTTTCACCCAAAAATAAATTGATTTTTTTAAACAGATTATCTACATCATCAGGAATCCAAAAGACACAGCTGTTTCTCTGTTCCACTACTACAGAGAGAACCCTAATCTCCCTGGCATTGAATCCTGGGCTGCATTTTTAGAGCTATTCCTAAGAGGAGATGGTAAATATAACAATGATTTTTATTCATAATATACAGTGAATCTTTCTGCTCAACATGAAAGTGTTTTCCAAAAGTTTAAATAGATTCCAATGCCTATTTTCAGAAGTACATCCTTCAGTAGATTATTCTTTTACTTCTAAGCAGTTGTTTCTCAATGTGCTTCTTCACAGTCTTTCTTATCACCCTTGAGCAGTACATATTAGCAAGCTCTTATTAAGATTAATGCTGACCAAGCCTTTATGTTTTCTATATACTGTCAGTCTTTTCAGTGAAATAATTATGCACTAATTGGAGCACAGTGAGATACGGCTAAAACCTAGACAGGTAGCTGAAACATGCCTTTTATACACCTGCATAGAAAATAAAACACACACACACACACACACACACACATGACCCCTCAAATCCCCTAAATAAAACAAATGTAAAAGAATTAGCCATCCTGGCACTTGGTTTTATAAAAACTAACAGAAAGTCATTTATCCTGAAAATACCACAAGGAGACATCATTTGATTGAGCTGCGTAGCATACGCTGGCCCTGCTCCCGTGCATGACCTTTGAATTTATTCCCTATTTTTATGACTCAGTGGTGTCTGGAGCACTTAAAAAAGCCCTTCTAAACTCCCAATGTATAATAAACAAACATAATATATAAAGACAATGCTGAATTTAAAAGAGACATGGCTTAGAAATGGTGTGCACCCAGAAGATTTTCTCTCTTCTTACTGGGCTTAGAGTAGATCTTAATTGCTAGTTTCAGTATTTTATATGTAAACTGTCATGCTTTTTGCTTCTTAATTTAAGAGAGGCCCCAGCAAGTATAACCTGAATGTGAAGACATTGGGAAATCACCAGCAACAGGATTTGATACTTTGTTTTGCTATATTCCCTTTGCAAGAATATGCTATTCTCATACTATTTTAACTCCTCCATTTCCTCATTTAATGACATGCATTTAGTAGAGTCATAAAGTTTCAGGAATGACAGGTGCAGTAAAGGTCATCTGTTTAAAACACCCACCTGATGTTTCCATCACCTTTACAACATCTCCAAGAATTGTAGGTGCTAAGTTTGAACTTCTTAACCTTGACAGGATGTTGGTTCACACTCCACACTCCTGTTCTCCAGAACACTTCATCTTGGAACTTCCACGTGTTGAAAAATCCTTACCGTGTGACACAGACACGGAGCTAAGTGCTGTGCACACATGATCTCTTTTCATCCTCACTCAACCACATGAGGTAGAAGATATTATTGTCATTTTACAGGGGATAAAACTGCTGACCTCGGAAGGCCAAATAACTTGTCCATAGATGCGTAACTAATAAGGAGCAGAGCCGAGATTTAAATCCAGGTGTCGGCTCCAAAATCTTTGCTCTCACACTGTGCCATAACTCGTCCCACAAAAAATTGTGCCCCGATCATTCATTCCTCTTCCACATGTTAGCCTTCTAAATATTTGAAGATAGTTAGCATGCCTCACTCTGCCTCAATTCCATTTTTGGAATAAGCAGAGTATAAATACATAACTTATATTTTTAAAACAGATCTTGGGCCTGCTTTTTCTCAAGAAAAAAACATTGCATTTGTCCCCCCATTCACACACGCTGAGGCTCACCCATCCTTCCTCACACTGCAGATGCTCAGACCTGGCCATATCTCTGGAAAGCTGAGCAGCAGCAGGGTGTGGTCTGGCTGCTTCTGTTCGAGAGGTTATTGTTCCATGCATGTAGACACAGAAGGGCCAACCCAGGCCATGCACAGGGCAGCAAACCAGTGTGTCACGAAGCATATGCTTTTGTTATCACAGTACTAGAAGCTGCAGTAGCGTATGTGGGAAGGGCAGAGTGCAGTTGGAAAAAGTATTTTGGGTGAACCTTTTACAGCTTCTTAGGTGAGTTAATAGATTTTTAGCTGTAAAGAGACCTGGCATGTAAATATTCTACAACTGGGCAGTCTCTCTAGACACTGGGAATAGTCACTGAATTCCTAAAGCTTTTAAAAAATTTATTCAGGTAGGAACAATTGCTTCACATTTTCCTACTTACAAGATACGGTTGTTCATTTTTGTGTGTGTTTGTGTGTGTTGTAAATGGCTATGTTTCACGGGTGTTCTTCGATGACTTTGTGGGGGAGGATTATTCCTCTTGCAAATGACAACGTGATATAGCAGCAAGAACAGGCTATAGGTTCAGAAGACCCGGGGTCGAGTCCTGGCAATGCTTTGTTCCCTGTGTGATTTTGGACAATAGCTTAACCATTTTAAGGTTTAGACTCCTAATATAAAATAGGACTAATAAAATCCTCTATTTTGTAGGATTATTTGGAGGTTCAAATTAAGTAATGGTTAAAATATGCTGTAAAAATCTACTGACTTATTCTGTTAGACATAACTTTTAAAGACACAAAGACTTTTAAATAATTTTTCATTAAGGTGGAAATATTACAAGTTGATGTTTATCTAGAAAGATTCTTTTACAAATGAGGCATCATGATATCCAAAACCCATATTCAAAACATAGATATAAGTCCACATTGAATGATAAGACACTGCAATAAAGATAAAGATAATGACATTTATTGAATCATCTAATTTATCTTTCAGAGAGTTTACAATACACTTTAGGTTTTTAAATGAAACAGTAACTGTAAATTATATTCTCACAATATCCTGGCAGATTAATATTTCAATGAAACAACATCTTCACATTTTACTTTTTATTCTCTATAGCTAGCCCCTCTCAGTTTTATATTAAAATTCTCCATTTCCTAGGCCACTTCATCCCAGTGAGTTTTGTTTTCTGTATAATTATCTATCACCAGAGTGCTTTCTAGAGACTAGACAGTAAGATACTCATTATAATTGGATATCAGAGTTGGGTAGAGGGCTTGCAAAAAGTATGGGAGTTTGAAACAGCTGAAGAATAGGATAATGTGTTAATGCAGGACAAATTGGTTTGCCAGGCAGCTTTGGGGCCCTTGAGGCTGGAAAAATGAATTTGCAGCGGTGTAAACACAGAGTGGTAAGCATTTCTTCGGCAGATCTCAGCAGTGGGGGGGTGAGCTAGAAAGAAGGCTAAGTGTTTTGATCCAACACTGCATGTTTTGGGGGGGTGATTAAGATAACCTTTAAGGGGACAGGAAGTTGAAAGTATTGGTGAAAAAAGTCTTGAGGAAATGTACAAAGGGAAGAAAGTAAAGGGAGAAAGGGACAAAAATAGTTAGAGGAAGGTATTGCAGAAATATCCATTAAAGTTACCACAGTTGATAGTGAGACCTGAGATGACGCAGAAGATTGTAATCTAAAATCACAGTCGTCAGCGACTGCAGTGGAGAGGTCGGAAGGTCAATTTCTGACTGAAACCAGGATGGAAGGAGTGGTATAGTCGAAGGACAGGCTAAAGGAGCTTGGAATGTCTGGGAGGGAGGAGTTCTGGAATTCCCTAGAAAGCCGAGTGCTGACTCACTCTCCCTAAGATACATGAGTGGGCTGAGAAAGAGCAACTTGTGTTCAAGGCCATCTCAGGGGAAGGAGTAACTTTTGGAAGGCGACTGTGCTCACCTCTGTACCGCCAGCACCAACATGGAGAGCAGGAGGGCCGTCAGTCGGATGTTAATTAAAGCCAGGAGGTGGTGGAATGATTTTGTAATTAAGTGAAGGATATGTAGAAAGATATTTCCCATAAAAGCAAAGTTTCAAATCTCTATTTTGGAAACTGTATTTTCTTACTAAACCATGGGTCCACCCTACTCATGACCTGGACAATAAGGATTCTGATTAAAGAATTAACCCAAACTGTAATTTTCTACATTAGTGAAAAAGGCACAAGCAACCAATTTCTTTACATTCTACTGGCTAGCTTGAGTCCTTTTGGAACAAGGTACAGTAGAAATTAGTTAATAATAGAACAGCTGGCTATCAAATTATGATCAGACTAAGATCTAAAAATTTATTCTTAAATCTATTTTGAATGTGTTGGAATATATTTTCTCCTGAATAACCATAATGGGCAAGGTCAATTAGAGTACCCCACCCATCGGGCCCTGCCCATGAAGTGTAACTCTGGATCTCTATCCCTACCTAACTTTTGGTCAGAGAAATATGGGCTGCCCCCCAGCCCCAATGCACAGTATTCAGGGCTCCGCATTATCAGTGACTCTAGGCAGTGACATTGCCAGGAGGGCTGGGCTGTGGCTGCCAGTGGGAATTGGGATGCTGGTGGAGACTGTGAAGTAGTCTGGGAAACTGGAGACTAGTTAACTTCCTAAATTTATGTGAGAGAAAAATCAGTCTTCTTCCCCCTCTGTGTTCGTACTTGGGAAAACATTGGCCATTCTTATAAGATAAACCCTTGTCACTGATGTGTAATTCAGGTAATTCAAAGCCAGTATTATGTGAGGCACTGAAATAGCAGTGAGATTACTGAGAACTGAAAACTTTATCTGCACAGTTCTTCTAAGAACTAGTTCCTATACAGCCTTTTGGGTCCGAGGGGTAGTAAAGAATTAGGTTGGCTCCAACGATACCACAGTGGTCCCAGAAATTCTGGTTTCAAAAATATGCTACAGTTATTTTCTTGCCCTTTGCTTCCTCGGGAGCCGAAGCCATGAAAAATTGCACGTAGTTTGAAGTTAATTATATTTCAATTTATTTAAAGCTTTACTGTTCAAAATGACTTGGGAACTAGTTAGTATTAAATCTTTATATGATACAGTTCATGGAAAGATGTATATGTAGTATTTTACATTTTTGTTTTATACTTTGTTTTGTCAAGCTAGTCAACTTTTTGTGTTTTTAATCATCACTGTTATAGAGGTTACTTTACATGATAATATTTTACTTTTAAGCCCTGGAGACTTTTTAAGTCTGTCAAATTAACAAAATATTAAAGAGACAACATCAACTACTGATAAATCCATAGGCCTATATTTCTCAACCTTGAACTAAGATACTTGAATAGAATTCTTGTTTGTGCTGGTGGTGGTGGTGTACAAAAGAAGTGGTGGTTTGTAGTGGTTTGTGCTGGTGGTGGTGGTGTACAAAAGAAGTTTGTACACTTTTTGTGATAAGAACTTACAGTTATGAAAAGCATGTCACATTACAGAAAGAAAATGCCAAATTCTCAATGTTTCTCTATTTCTCCCACAATCCAAAGTAGTTAATCAAAACAGAAATTGGAGAAGTGTATATCACTGTATTTCTGTTGTCAGTTCCCCTGATGATAAAAAACATTTACTAAAAATAAGAAAAAAATATACACAACCTGATTAGAAGATCTCACTATCCAGCTTCATTTCACAGTATTGTAATTAGTTGAAACAATAGAGAAATTGAGCTCTTCTAAGGAAAACTTTTTCATTCCAGAGTCTAATAAGTATGTGCCTTGCTTTAACAACTTTGCTGAAGTGGGAAGAACCCAAACCCTAAAACCATAATGTTCAAATATTAACACAACAATTCACTTTTCTTCTAGTTGTGTATGGATCTTGGTTTGATCACATTTTAACCTGGGAAGACCACAAAAGTGATGAAAACATTCTATTTATATTCTATGAAGAAATGAAGAAAGTAAGTCTTTCCTAACATTTCAACAATCAAAATTCAAGTCAAATTATGTTAATACAGGAAGTCAATCAATGAATCCTGTCCTGTTTTTGGATTTCAGGGAATAAATTTGGTATTTTGATGAGTAACACTTTTTAAAATTTGCTTATTGTCCAGAATCCTTCTAAAAGCATAAAGAAAATAACTACTTTCCTCGGTATAAATGTGAGTGAAAGAGAAATCAATCAGATTGCTTGTAAATCATCATTCAGGGAAATGAAAAATGATGCAGCCAAAGAAAACTGTGACGCAAATAAGACCATCTGTGCCCTCACATCAAACAGGAGCCTGGTATTCAGGAAAGGTAAGTCAGAAGAAGGTGCGGTGCCTTGCCTGGGGCTCATATTTGGAAGTAGTTTTATTTTACCTTTTTAACCCTTATTTCCCCGTAGTGCACCCTGTCTTGCACAACAGATGACACATTGTCATCCATCGGTGAATGTTTCTTAAATGAAATTCTTGAATTGCATTCTTTCCAGATTTTGAGATTTCCATGCCCATTTAGGAACCAACTGAGAGAAAAACACAGGTGTCAATCAGATAGAAATGATAAAATGATTTGAAGAAGTGCCTCAGGTCTGCAGACCAGTGTGTTTGCTAATAAGTTACCCTGAATTTTATAAGCACATTCTTAATGCAGCCAATCAAATGCAAATGTCCTGTCCCCCTAGCGAAGTAGGTCACTCAGAGCATGTTACATGGCATGTTTTCTTCAGGAGAGAGAAAGGAGCTGGTAAGTGTGGATGGTGCATTTTCCCAAACTCACCAATCAAATAACTTGCTCTGCAGAAGTCAGGGGTGGAGAGAGAGCTGGGATTGTTGTTGAAGGAAGTTCATCTGCATGGGAACACAAAAAGAAGGAAATAATTCTCCACTAAGTCTTAACGTGTAACTTAGAAGGAGGTTAGGTAATAAAATCTGACAGCAAGAAGAAAAATTCAGAACCAGTATGGAATTGGATGATAATTTTATTTTATTTTTTTTAATTTTTAAAATTAATTTTAGAGAGAAAGAAATGAGGAGAGAGAGAGAGAGGCAGAGAGATAAAGATATCAATTTGTTATTCCGCTGATTTATGCATTCATAGGTTGTTTCTTATATGTGCCTTGACCAGGGATTGAACCTGCAACCTTGGTGTATCAGGATGATGCTCTAACCAACTGAGAAACCTGGCCAGGGCCTCAATCGTATTTTCTAGGAAGAGCTGGCAGTCTCTCATGTGCTAGAATGGTGTATGATGTGTGAAACTGAAGGAGGGAGATGAAGAGATTGGGGCCAGATTCCAAAAGCTTTGAGGGACATCATACAGAGGTCTTTTTTACCCTCAGTCTGTTGGCACTTTCAAGAAGGGATCTGACATGGTCAGACCTGTGTGGAAAATTGATTAGAAGAGGTTAAAAGCAGAGGCAGACAGTCTAGCAAAGAGGCTCTGGTAGTAGTTCAGTTATGAAACATTAACAATTATAACTAGGGCAGTGGCAGTGAGTCACTGTTGGGTGCAGCTGAGCTGAGAGGTCAGTGAGCCATCAGCAAATTGTAGAATTCAATAAAGTTGCTCAGGGTAAGTGGGAAGAGCTTCTGGAGAAAGGGACAGAAAGGGGAGCCCTAGGGACCCTGATGTCAATGGGAATGAAACAGTCTCCAGACGAGCCAAGCAAAAAGATCGGCCAGAATCAGGAAGAAGGCCAGGGTAGGAGATGACCATTTACTTTTCATTCATGAATTCTAAGAGTGCAGGAGGAAGCCAGGCTGAGGGATTTGAAGAGATGAGAAATAAAGAAAGGAGCAACAAATAAGGAGCACTCTTCCAAGAAGTTTGATAGTGGAGGATGGAAGTCAGATGATATGGGAGCTTGAGAGAGAGACAGGGTCAAGAAAAAGTCAGGAGAGGTGGGAGAGAGATGATAAAGGGAAGACAGAAAGAATTTAGAAGATGCATGGAGGAAGGTAAACTGAAATAAAGGGTGAGAAGCAGAGATCAGGATGGACCATGGTAAAGAGGATGATCAGAAATGAAAAAGTCCTGATGGTTACTGGAATCCAGAGCTACTGTTGACATTGCTTATCACTGCCCTTTGAGATCTGATTAGCAAATTCTCAGCACTCATGTGTCTTATCTTACAAACTTGGGAAATTTTACTGGAATGATGGTAGAGATTATCCCTGACCTGCCATTGTGACCCTAGTAAACATTTCCAGGGGAAACCATATCAACATAGTTGTAGGCGACAACATTTATTCTAATGCATTTCCATTTTATCTAAAAGTGGTTTCTTTATATTGTGTCTAACAAAGCACAGAAGGTTGATGATAGGAACATCTTTACTGATACTAGTCACCATGAGCACCGGTTGGTACACTTGGATTATGTGAGAAACTAAACCCAAGGGTGGGTCAATAAAGACCCTTCACTTTATTTATTTCTTTAAAGATTTTATTATTTATTTTTAGAGAGGGAAAGGGAGGGAGAAAGAGAGGGAGAGAAACATCAATGTGTGGTTGCCCCTCATGCTTCACCTGTTAGGGACTGGCCTACTGTTGCGCGTGGGTCACCGGCCAGCAGTGACCACGGAACGCTGTGGATGGCTCGACGATAAACACGTGAGAAAAAACGACACATGCACAGAGACAAACTAGTTTCTGTGGGGAAGTAGGGACGAAATGGCCACCCCCCCTAGTGGGGAGCGCGCCGATTTACAGTCCATACCTGCTTTTATTGGGCTCATGCTGCATAATAATTCAGGTAAAGTACAGTACTCATTAGGGGAAGTAAGGAATCATAGAAAACAAAGAACTCTGCCGGTCTATTGAGTTGGGGTCAAAGAGCTGTACGACTGAGGAACAAACTAACTTCCTCCTAAGACCCTTCTCATTCAACTGAGAGCATTCTAAACAAAGAAGGTTTCACAGTAATTTACATATTCTTTCTTAGGCCTGATCACCCTGGGGAATCCGCACTTCTCAGTACTGAGCTGTACCACCCTGTCATTGTTTCAGGCTTAGGTGGAGCAAGGGAACTAAGGCAACTGAGAGATAAGGAGATTTTCTCCCAGACGCTGAGAACTCAGGCTATGTCAAAGCCGAGGAGCGAGGGTCCATCACCCCCTTTTGCTGCAGCCCCCCCCAAGTCCTTCTTTTGGGGGGCCTCCCAAAAGTGATCGTGCCTGGCTTGGGTCGTTCCCCCCGTGGGGAATCTTACCCGTCTTTGGCTAACCGACCAAGCTTTTTGGGGTTCAGTTATGAATAAAGCAGCAGAAACAGCATTCCTGCCAGAGAGATAAGCTTTTATCTCCTTGCCGGCTTACGGTTCCAAGGGCGTTCCCTTAGCCTTAGCTAGGCGGGGGTTTCAGCCTCTGATACCAGTCAGGGCGGTTCCCAACAGCCTACAATTTAGGGATGTGCCCTGACTGGGAATTGAACCAGCAGCCTTCCAGTTTGCAGGCTGGAGCTCAGTCTACTGAGCCACACCAGCCAGGGCAAGAGACCATTCACTTTATTTCTTTTGTTTGATGGATGGGGTGGGTGTGGGGGCTCCATCCTCTGAAAGTAAGAGTTTCAAAGAAACTACTGAAGTCACTGATTCAGAATCCTTGGCACACAGAGATAATCTTCACAGAGGAGGATTTGTGCCTGCAGCTGTCTTTACTTTAAACTCAGAAGTAGAGCTGATATTCTAGTAAATGACTATGGTGGTCAGGGAGATAAGGTGACAAGCAAGGATAGTCCACATAAGTGTCAGAAGTCTTAGGGCTTCTGACATACTAAAGTCTGGGGGGAGAATTATAGAAGTATGGAATGATTCACTTAAGTATCATTAATCAGAAACTGCTAAAAATGTTGTCATATCCATACAAGGGTTCACTGTGGAGTCATGAAAACTGTAGAGTAAAAATAGCTAGAATTTACTGAGTGCTTTAGTTTGTGCCAGAGACATTACTTGGTTTGTCTGGATTTTGACAGCAGACTTTTGAGGATAACATTCATGTTATCCATATTTTACTGAGACACCCAGTGCCTGAATAACTTATCCAAAGACACATGATTAGTAGCTGGTAGAGTCAAGATCTGAAGCCAGACCCTCTTACCCTATGCACCACAGCTTTCGTTGTTGATATATAAATACTAATATGAAAAGATGAGCAAACTATAGTAAGTGGGAAAAGTTAGGTTATAATTGTGTGATTTAAAATATAGTTTATATGCATTTATACATTTGCAAAGATCTGGGAAAATGCACACTGGCCAATTTGTTAGCCATGTTACCGGAATACAGTTTCCTTGATTTTTATCCTCTTTGCTTATGCGTATTTTCTCTAACCTACATATATAGCTACTATTTTATTTTTTTAAGATTTTTTTTAAGTAAAAGAAAAAATCAGAAACCAAGCAAACAAAAGCCAGATCAAAGAAAGAAGAAAGCAGTGTCTAAGTGAATTGATATCAGAAACTGCAAGGAAGAACCAGGAAAGACCAAAAAATATTAAAGCTGACTTTTCACCTCAGGTGGTGTGTTTTAGAGGCAATGTCATACAAGAAAATGATTATATTTTCAACTCTTTGTTATCAATATTGTAGAATACATTTCCTGAAAATGAGACCAACGCCCCACCCCTGCGCTGTGTTGTCAGCACAGTGACTGCTCCAGAGGCACACAGGCTGGGAAGTAAAAGCAGCATCACTATACCTACATTGTCTGCTTTATGTTTTGATTTTTTTCCACTTGCTGTTGTAAAACTGAGGACTGTGTATTTTTAATCTTCCTTTCTTTTTAAGATAGAACTTTTTAAACTATACAAATTGACATGCAACTATTACTAAAAAGTTAGAAACAGATTAGTGAATAAGGGAAAGAATAATTTCCTTATCATCTTATCACCAAGAGCTGAAATTGTTCACATTTTATTATAAATCTGAGAGATTTCTTTTGTGACTACTATATATTTAAATTGGTTCTTGTCTGACACATTTCCAATTTTTCCAGGAGCAGTGGGTGATTGGATAAACTACTTTACTTCAAAGCAGAAGATAGTATTTGATGAACTATTTGCAGAGAGAATGAAGCACAGTGAACTAGCAAGACACTTTGAAGATTATTCTTAATACAAATGGAAAATGAAACCAATTTCCATTTTATGCGATACAGTGCTTGTAGAATACATAAATATTTTTTACCAATGTGGAAAGCAGATATTTGTTTCAGAGAGAAATGGACACTTTATGAATGCATCAAGAGTGCCATGCGCAAGAGACTATTATTATCATATTTGATGGTAGCAGGGAATCATTAATAAAAGGAAGTATATAATTTTTGAATAGCTGAATTATATATCTGCTTTCAGGATATGTATAAGGCAAAGAGATGATTTCTGTTCAGACAGCATACTACTGTGGGTATCCTATAAACCGCACTAATGTACAAAGAAAGAAGAGGGGGATTATCTGAAGTAACGAGTGTCTGAGAAGAATCTCTGTCCTGCATTTTGGACCATCGTGACCTCTAAACAAATATTTTTATTTCAATATTCCTTGGTGTCCATGTAAAAAGATTCTGTAGTGTCATAGCAATGTAAACATAATTTTACTGAGGCAAAAACTCCTAATAGGCAGATTTTATCAGATGACCGGAATCTGGTATTTTGGTGAAAGGAAGGATGAGAAGGCACCCATTCATGTTACAATAACTCTGATGTGGCTTCCGGCATTCCAGCATGTCCTCTGTTTTAAGTAAAGTTACTTAAATTACAAAACTTCTTATTTCTGGTTTTGAAAAGTATAATTTTCCTGAAGTACTTATTTTTTACAGTATTTTGAATATGTAATATTTCTCCCAGTAGCATTTCTAGCATTAATCTAATCTCTAGAACACTCTCTTCTGTAATGACTATTATTTTGTATCTTTAACCAAGAGGACATTGTAGTGATATTTCAGGGAACTTATTTTAGGATTATTGCCTGAATGACAACATATTGGTTATAAGAATCTATGTCATACTGTTTACATCTGTGCTGTGGTATCTAACCCAAGGCTAATGGGAAATCAAAATCATATATTGTATATGACTCTGAGCCATGAAACCAAAGCAGTGAGTTGAGCGAGTTAATTCAGCCAATACCAGTGTATGGTGAACCTTATTTTTAGTAACAAATCTGTTGGAGTTTTTTGTACCAAGTTTATCACAAATCAGTCAGCATTAGATCTTCATGAATCTTTTACATATACATAATTGTTATAAATAAAATATATCCCAGTTGACTTCGTGAGATTCATGTTGCATTTTTCTATTTTTTATAGAATTAACATACACAGAGATTTACTAAAATATCTCCCTTCCCCAAATAAATGAGCTAAGTGAATATTAAGGCAACCAGGTGAGATCTTGGTCAAGTCCTCATTTCATGTTAAAGTTAAAATCGCACTTAACTTTCCCCAATGTTGATGTGCAGAGAATGAGAAGGCTTTCAGGGTAAGGTGAAGAGGATCAGATGAGATTGGCAAGTGAAGACAGTGACTGTTGTGCTAAGGACACCAAATCCCATGAGGCTATACACCTTCTCACACGGTTAAAATGATCACTGAGATCAGCCCTGGCTGGTGTGGCCCAGTGGATTGAGCACTGGCCTGTGAACCAAAATGTTACTGGTTCAATTCCCAGTCAGGGTACATGCCTGTGTTATGGGCCAGGTCCCCATTTGGGGACGTGCAGTAGATCGATGTATCTCTTACACATTGATGTTTCTCTCCCTCTCTTTCTCCCTCCTTTTCCCTCTCTCTAAAACTAAATAATTGAAATCTTAAAAAAAAAGATTAAAATGACCATTGACATCAAAAGGGAGGAAGTGTGATTTTATTTGATGGCATCATTGTATTTTAGATCTGTAAGGTACCTTTGGGGTCATTGCAATCCAGTTTTGATAAGGAAATTGCTTAAAGCCAACAATCCAAAGGTGTAACTAAGAACCTTGATCAAGACCCTTGATAATCTCATTACCAGTCAATAAAAAATAGTGTGTACATATTCATAGCAGCACTATTTACACAATCCAAGAAGTAGAGATAACCTGTATCCATCAATAGATTAGTGGATAAACAAAATGCAATACATACAAATAATGAAATATTATTCAGCCTTAAAAAGGAAGTAAATTCTGACACATGCTGCAACACGGATGAAACTTGAGGACACCATGCTAAGTGAGGCCTTCGCAGAAAGACATATATATAGTGTGTGATTCCACTTCTATGAGGTATCTAGAGGAATCAAATGCACAGAAACAGAGAGCAGAATGGTGGTTGCCTGGGGCTGGGGTAACAGGGAAATGGGAGTTGTTTAAGGAGTATAGGATTTCAGCTTTTCGAGATGAAGTTCTGGAGGCTTGTTGCACAATAATGTGAATACACTGAACTGTACAATTAAAAGTTAAAGATGGTAAAAAAATATTTTTTGAGACCCTTCCATGTGTCAGGCATTATTGTACACTGTAGGGACACATGAACTTGAAAGAATCCCTTTACTCAAGACCATTACATTCTAGTGGGGGTAAATATATAAATTTTTTAATAAAAATTTTAATATAGAAAATACCTGGGATATGGCAGGCACCAATCTGTGCTATGAAGAAGACAGCATAAGGTCATGTGGTAGGTAATGACTAGGAGACGCTTTAGCTGGGGTGCCAGGCAGAGGACTTTGAGAAGGGGACACAGGAGTTCCGATGCAAATGGAGAATGGGGCTCCCTGCGCTTGGAGGCAAGACAAGGAGTTTGGATTTCATGCTGGCATTGGGAGGGGGTGGATTTTCCACAGGGGAGACATTCTGACAGACACTTTCACAAGATCACTCTGCCCACTAGAGGGAGGATGCACCTGATACAGGAGAGAGACATGAGAACTATACAAATCAGCTAAAGTCAAAAAAAGTTAGGGCAGAGTCTGCTACGTGCTGCCTGTCAGAGAACTCAGCTGATCTGAGATGCAAGCCAACCACGAAGAGCCTCTGAACGAAGAAAATCCCTGCAGAGATTCGTTAATAGCTATTTACTCATATCTTATCATTTACCCTTCCATATAGGGAAAACAGCCCACAAAATATACCTTGTAAAGGTTAAAGTTAATCCCAATTTTTTTCCACTCTCTGTTTCCCCATACCAGCAATTTTCTATAGAAACTACAAGCAGATAAAAGCTCAACCTCTAGAGATGGTTGGGGTCTCTCTTCCTTCTCTTGCAAAGAGAGACTACTCCTGTGTCTATAGAATGGCTTTTCTAGCTTGTCTTCTCTGCTCAATAAAACCTGCTTTTACACTTTAACATTTTGTCTGTTTCATGTCTTGAATTCTTTTCTGTGTGAAGCTAAGAAGCCTCTTGGCTTGGGACTCGAGGCTCACCTAAGGACTTGCCCTTCTGACCTCAGACCTAGGGGTCATGGGAGGGGGCAGCGGTAAGTGGCTGTCACAGTGGTGTGCGTGTATATGAGATAGGAGGGGCACGTGCACAGTGGTTGGAGCAGTGGAAATGCTGAGACATGGCCCATTTCGGGATATAATATGGAAATCAAGCCAGGTAACCTACTAATACAAGAGTGAAAGTCAGAAAGGAATAAATGAAGCCTAGGTTTTAGGCTAATTAGCTGACTCTCTAAAGGCACCATTTATTTAGATGTGAAGGCATAATGGTAGAATGATGTTGGTGCTTAAAGGGAGGGTGGAGTGGCAATGGATGAAGCCTTCTGCTGTGGCCATGCTGCTGGAAATGTCTATTTAGACACTGGGTAATTGGTTGGATGGCAGAATCTCCCTGCTGACAGCTGTGTTGCTCCCTGGGCCCAGTGGGAGGGTTGGATAAGCCAGGGGGAGTGGTGTGGAATTGTGGGAGATTGAGGAAGTTTTGATTTATAGAGCATCACCATGACCGTGGCAACTGCAGAGGATGTGCTGCTGACTGATGTCCCGGATATCCATGCCCAGATGGGTTTTCCCCTTTTCAAAGGTGAGTTCTGGCTCTCCCTGCCTCAACCCTGACCTACCACCCTGCTTTTTTCTTCATTTCCTTGAGGATGCAAAACAGCTCACATGCATTTCCTCATCCAAATTGCCTCCCACATTCCCCTGATGATTCCCCTGTTACTTATTTTTCATTCTCCCTCTTTGATTTCTCTTCTCCACCCCCTCCACTCTGTAGTCAATAAGTAACTGCTAAATCCTGAAGATTTTTTTTTTAAAGATTTCATTAGGTGGCACTTTCTCACCTCAGTGTATCTGTTTGTGCCTTAGAGGCATTTCACCACCAGCTCTTCAAGGCGCTCAGCTCCCTGCCCCTTAACCCCATTGCTTTTTATTTCTCCCCCACTGGCTCTCCAAGGACTCTTCACTTGTAAGTTACTCTCCACACTTCACCTTTCAGGCCTTGTATTTTTACATAAACGTCTGCCTCCTATTCCAGCGTGTCAGGTTCCCACTGTTGGAGTCCACATCCAGTTCATTTTGTACCCTTCCCCACGCCCAGCCCAGCACAGCGCTCATGGTAGATGCTTTGCCAACATTGGCTGTGAATTGAGCTCATGGATCAGTTTAATTCTATGTCTTCCAGAAAACTCAGTTCCACTATTGTAACCCACTTTGATGCTATTTTCATAATCTCCTACAACTTCATCTCTGCAGTAGTCAATTATTAACCTAATTGATTAACCTAATCACATACTCCTTTCTATTGTGACTTAACTCTTTCACATTATGCACGCCTTTCCTCCCCAGTTTTATTGTATCCTTAAATGCAGGGCTTGTAGGACGTTTCCTCAGTGACTGATGCAGTGTATTGCCCTCAGGGATTGTTCAATAAGGATGTGTTGAGTGGAATAATGAATTAGTGAGTGAATGACTGAAAGAACTCCTTCCTATCTACCAGCTTAGTTTCTTGGTTCTATAGGCATAAATGCTTAAAGTCATATTTAATTATTTTATTTTTCCCCCACTTTCCAAATCAAACCAGAGGCAAAATACTATTGATTCTTGCATTTCAGTAACTCTTAATTTATTCTGTTTTCCTTCAGATATAAAGGTAAGCAAAAATCAATTATAAATTATAAGAATAGCCTATAGCTACCACGTGCAGGGTAAATCAATCTGGTGGAGAGGTCTGTGGGCATTCACACAATGTGTACATGCTTTTAACATTACCTTTTTTTTGTAATTTTTCTTTTTATTGTGTAAAATTATAAAGTTGAAATACATTTGGTTTTAAGCAGCTCATTCATATATTTATAAAATATTAATTAAA